CAATAGGGAAAACTCTCTCCCCAAGCGTGATATCCTCATCTCAATTGTTAGGCACATAATATCCAACAAGCACGAATACAAGCATTACCTTTTACAATGCTTCGCATATCAAATTTCACAACTTCGATATCTTCCAAGCATATCTTCATTGTTCATGTAGAGATTAGTCATCACAAAACTTTTGTTACTTTATGATTGTCAAAATCATGCATATATAGCTGAAAAGTACATGGAACGAATATCGAACATAAGAGAGAACAAAACTGTGGTGGGTAGCCAAAAGATACGAACAAAAGTAGAAAAAAAAATGTTAAAACTAAAATTAACTAAATTGGTAATCAAGTAAACACATTCTCAAGCGACGACACCAAAAACTTATTCGTTAAAATTACAAATCGTATGTGCATAGATCTCATTTAAATAATAAAGTGAATTATGAGTCCGAGTTGAACCCTCGAAGATTGTTTACTTAATTACACGATAATTAATTTAATTCTAACATTAAAACACACAATAAAATTTTGATTTTGAAAATAAATAAAATAATTAAAATTCTACTAAAAAAAAAAAAAAGAACAAAACTCAAAATTAAGGAAAGTATGAATGTTAAGGTGGTTGGGATTCATGACTTTACTTAACCGTCACCTAATCAATCGCAACAAGCAATTTAATCTTTCATCTATCTATCATGTGCATATACGATTAAGATTAGGTCAATTTGTAACTAGATTAGATATTTAATCATCGTGGGATAGATACTTGGATTGTAAGTCTACTTTACTACTTATTCAAGTATATACACTTGTGGGATATTACTCTCTACACTCCAAAATCCAATGTCAACTTTTATAAAGTAGTTACAACCTCGTTTTATAGTTTGATTTCTGTTAGTTATATTTATTAATTTGCTTTTATTAAACATATATGACCTTTACTCATGTTTTTATATATTAAATAATTAAAATTTAATAGAATCTTAAGAACCTCGATTTGATCCAATGATCTAATCTACAAGATTCCTTCATCGATCCTATCCAAGATTATGATTTTGACATTCCAAGATTTGAGTGAGTTTCGAGGATAAGGCTCTCCAAGCCAACTATTATGCTCTTGTAAACCACTTCCATAAAGGAACTTGTATTTGCCTAGGACAAATCTCTGCACGAGTTAATATTGTTATGAAAATCTCAGTAGATGAAAGAGGTGGTCGTGTAACAACACAAATGTGGAATTTGGTTGAAAATCAAGACCAATTCTTTGATGTCTAGACAAAAAATTTTATTCTATGAAAAATTGTTACATTCCAAGAACAATTGTTACATTCTAGATTTTTTTTTTTCTCTCTACCCAATTCCAAGAACAATATACCACGAAGTCTCAAAACAATAACTAGTTTGAAAACTAATAAGAAAAATGTATTGTATTCTTTAGGTAAATTTGCAAAGATCCTTATATTTACTTAGGAAGAAGCTCAAATGTGGCAATATCCTAACAAAAATTTCAATAAATGAACCCGTACCCCTATCCAAGAGGTGGTTGTGTGAAAACAACCAGTGTGGCATTAGGCCACCCAGAAAAGATGTGTTGATCTTTATGAGTCAAAGATGTGTTGATCTTTATGAGTCTCCTCAAGCATTGAGTTCGACGTATTACATTTTCAGTTCTAAGATTTGAGTCTCCTTTCATCTCGTTTTGATTACGAACGAGGTAAGCTCTTCAAGTCAACTCTTTTGTACTCTTGAGCCATTTCAAGGATCGAACTTATCAAGATGTGGTCATGTCACAACATCTAATGTGAATTTCGTCCACTAGAATAGATGTATTAATCATTGGGTAATTGGCACAAAACGACCTTATCTTTCATGTCTATTGTAGAAAACGTCCATACCTTTTATTTTTTAGGTATTTTGTCCCTACCTTCCACCTTTCTTGGTGCTGAACATCATTTTCATCAATTTTGAACAATTTTACCCTCCATTCAACTAAAACAAAAAGAAAGAAAATGAAACAACAAATAACTAATCGCAACCACCGCCTCCAATTTTTAAAAAATTACAAATCAATCACAAATATATACAAAATTTTCAATGATACGCAGTTTCTCCTTTGGAGTGAATGCACCTTTATTTAGAACTGGTCTTAGGTGGTTTGTCCACCTCAAGCAACAACTTTTTCCACACCGAGCCAGCACCGAGTGCTTTCGGACTGCATTCCAGTTCCCTTCTCCATGCTTGGTAACGTACTCAATTAAAATGGCATCTTTTGCAAATGTCCAGGGACCTTTTTTAAGTGGACCATTCCCACCCACATTTCCTCCACTAGTATCTTCTAAATCTATGCTATCTTTGGATATCATCTTTTCCTCACTTTCACTTGACATGCCCTTCACCTATTTCATCAACAAATCTAGAAAAATGATTTAACAGTTCAATTTCCAAATTGTCAAATCAGAGATGCCAAGATAAACATCTAAAACAGTATTAGCCCATCTGGTAATTTTTGGATCTTAAATTATATAAAAATGTTTTGCAAAAGTTCATTCAAGTGAAAGTATTAACAGAAGTAGAAGAAATATTATCATTGTAATTATTAATATTATTATCTAATTTAATTTTGATACCTCAATGTGGAGAACATGGTCTTAGAAGCTGCAATGCACTCCTTGTGAATCAAATGGAGCCCATATTCCAAAATAAAATTCCTTAAACTCGAAATTTAATGTTTAAAATGCAAGTCCCAACCTCAAATTATCACCGTAATCGAAAAATAAGCACAAATCCAACTGAAAATCTTAAAAGAATAACCAAAAGCAGAACGATGTGGATCAAAAATTCAAGAGGAAAGATCAATCTACTATTATTCTAAGCTATGATTTAGAAAACCCAGAAGGAGAACACGAAGAAAATTCTAGAAACCCTTTTGTACAAGTGAAGAAGAGATGAAATTGGCCCAAGATCCACTTAGTCGAGAGAGGAAAATGACAAAGATGGAGAAAACGAGACGAAAGAGGCTCAACCTAAACACATGAAATGAAATTCGAAAAAAAGAAGGATTATACATCAAGTATTGTTGGCACATATGTTGAAAATTTTGTATATATTTGTAACTGATTTTTTTAAAAATTGGGGGCTGTGGTTGCAATTAGTTATTAGTTATTTCCTTTCCTTTCTTTTTGTTTTATATGAATGAAGGGTAAAATTATCCAAAATTAACGAAAAGGACATTCAGCGCCAAGAAAGGTGGAAGGTAGGTGCAAAAATGTCAAAAAATGAAAGATAGTGACGTTTTCCATAATAGACATGAAAAGTAGGGACGTTTTGTGCCAATTACCCATTAATTATTTTATGATGCATTTTGAGCTTCAGAATCAAGTCACGATATTTAAGTTAGTGCATATCTTAATTTTTTTATTGACTTCTTTCTAAAGAGGTAAGATTCGATGAATAACAAATTGTTCAATCTATCTGATAGACACGAAAATCTCTCTAATTTTTCAGTTTTCATTTTCGCAATCAGATGAAAATAATAATGACTTAAATTTTATCTTACATCAGTTTTTTCCATCTAATCTCATTAAAAAAAGGGGGATTTTTTTTTTTTGGTTCCTTTTTTCGATAACTCATATACTCTAAGTTTAGGTCTTATCCATTTGTGGGAAGAGCTTCGACAGAAGCTAGGTCTAGATAATGCTATTATGAAGTTTGATACTCTTGTTCCAATTATTCTTCTAATTGGATCATTAACTAAAGCGAAATTTTATAATGGTTTGGCTTAAAAAATAAAATATGAAACTTCATATACCTTAAAGTTCACAGGACAAAAACATATTTTTTAACGGAAGCTAACTTTGGTTTGTTAAATTGATTAATTCATCAATGCACTGTAGGTATGATGGCTGTAATGATATTCCCGCATGTTTTTCAAGTATATCGCATCAATAGATTTTAAAAACGCCATGAATTGACTTGGATTATAGGTGTGGTTCTCGAGGTATTGAGCGTATCTTTTAGCATAACTGGTTATTCCTTATCTCGGGACCAAAATGATTACTGGAGAGTGAAAATTTTAATAGGTGTACTTGAGGATAAATTTTCGGTTGTTTTTTATAGACAGAAGAATGGGACAGCAATCAAATTATTCCACTTTTCATCAATTCTGGAAGGGTTGAATTCTTCTAAATTAACATTATATCTGATCTCATTTCTTCCCTTTCAATTGAGGATGTAGAATTTTTTTGCTTGAATGGATTAGTCTAAGCATGAAACAATATACCTTCATATTATTGATTACCATACAATTTTAACAATGCTATAGACAGGTTAAGAACATATGCTTCTCGATTTTCTTAAAGTCGGGCATTACTTAAGCCGACTATCAAGGTTAATTTATCTCGTAAGAGCATAATGCTCCCCACTCCAATCGCCTTTGGAAAAGTTGGTTTGTCTTGATGCCAGAATCACGCTAGGCCAATTTGTCTCGTACTATACACAACACATGAAATATTGAGAACTCACTCTATCGACCATTCAGAAAAGATGGTTGGACAACCCCCTCACAAAGGAGGGGGCCGAGCATTTTTTTATTGGTGCGGGCCTCCTCCTTTGTGAGGGGGTTGTAACCCACGCTGTGTGCACAGCTCGGTACATAGCACGGTTCAAGTTGGTCATGTTTCCACGTTGCAACATAAAATGGTGTCACATCCATACATCCATACACATATATTGAGATTGATTTGGCTTTCTTTGTCACTTATTGGGAATTACGTCAAGATGGGATGTTAAAAGAAGTCAATAAGCTACCTGCCAAAACCCATTAATCTACTCTGAGAATCAGAGAAGATCAAACTCCATTGCACTATCTTTTTCTTCTTCTTACTGTCAACTACTCCACCACCCCAACCCAACGGCTAGTTCTTGTTTGAACGTTTAAACCTTGGACTTGGGGGAAGTGAAGGATACGATATTAGTCAAGAAACTATTAAAGAAGAGAGAGGAGAATCATAGCCGTAAATACTAAATATATAATTCATCTATATATGCAATAGCAGCATGAGAGAGATAGTCGGCATTAATTGTTGAAGACAGGATACATTAATTTCTCTGACTGGTAAATTAAATGGCCTTTCGATTATCTCATTGATAACCCCATCTGCCCTTCTCTGCATTCTAACCCACTCTCCACTTCTCATTTAATGCTCCATTTTCCCTTTACAGTAACGCAGCAGTAACTACATTGTCCTCTCAAGATTAAGACCCACTAATCCATTCAAAAGGGTAAACTAAAACTTACAAAAATTTGGTCTGTGTCTGATTTTTCATAGCTTTAGCTTGCTAAATGCAGTAGAAACAGATTCTTTTGTGGATGGAGAGGGTCTTATTGGTGGTGGTGTTGCACATACTGGGATCACAGACCTAATTTGAACTGCTGGGGCTGTCCTTTGTGGATAGTACACTCCTCCTGTGAGTGTAGACCAACCCTTGATTGAAGGAACTGCAATTTTAGATGGACTCACAAGTTCAGCAAGGCTAGTTCTAATATGGATTGTCCTTGTATTTTCTGCTATTGGTTCAGGCATTGAAATTTCGGGCTTCCCATAATTGCTAGAGCCCATCATTTCAATAGGCTTCTTGATGAACTTTGATATCCCATTGAGCAATTCATCCTTGTCCCTTCCCACAATGGGTGTCATTTCTTGGAGTTTAACTTGTGAATTCTTAATGATTTGTGTTGGGACAGGCTTGGGTTCTGTATGATAGAAAGCTTGATAATTTGTAGATAAACTTGGGGGTAAAATTTTTGACATTATTCTGGGTGGTGGTGGAGGGAGCAAAGATAGAAAACTGTTCTGTTTTTGCTTAGATTTTTCCAAATTTGAATCTGAAAACAGATCCATTAGCCTCCATTGTTGTCGCTGTGCAGAACCAGAACTGTTCGTAGCGTTGTCTCTGCAAGTTCTCTGCGTTCTTTTTCTGGGTTGATTCTGATCCCTTCTCCTGATTACTCTAATTTCATCTTTTCGTCTGCCTAAGATTACTCGATCTTCGTTGTCGACTTCTTTACTTGTCTGAGACAGTGAATCCAAATTTGGCACTGCACAGAAGAGTCCACGCTTGTTACAAAGTTCAACAACGTAAAGAACCAAATGACAAGAAATGGCAAAGAAAATATACTTGTTTTCAAAGAAGACCAGGCAGCAATTGCAGCATTCTTCTCAGCTTGCTTCTTTGTTTTGGCTGATTCGCCCGTAAAACTCATACCGGCAAGCTCTACTGTACTAGTAAAAATTGGAACATGACCAGGACCTGTTCTAATAGTAGTGTATAAGGGAAGATCCAGGCCAGCTCTGTGAGCAGTCTCCTGAAGGAGATTCTTATAAACTCCGGTCTCATCCTGAGAACAGATTGAAGACGTTAACACAAAGGCAGGACGTAGACTGAAGCATTTGGAGCAGAAAGGAACTTACAAGAACTCTTGCTGTTAAGGACCTTGAAGGGCCTCTGGCAGAGAGGGCATTGAGAGCCACTTCAGCCGCGGCATGCTCGGCCTGCCGTAAAGTGGTGCAGTAAGCAGGACTTTCAAAAACTTCTCCATTGAAATTGACAGAAGCTTTGAATCTCGGAGCATGATCAGGCCCTTCTCTGATGCAGGCGTATGAAGGGAGATTGAAACAGCTTCTTTGAGCAAGTTCTTGTAGCTGATTCTTGTACATATCTGCCTTAAACAAACCAAACAGCGATCAAACAACTTGCATAAACCAATACATTTTGAACAAGTAACAGAGAATGAACTCACTCACTCTAAGTGATTTGACTCTCCTATTCCTGCATAAGCAATGAGAGATATTGTGGATGTAGAGTAAAGGTTTTCAGTTTTAAATGTCTGAGAGAGAGAGAGAGATTTGCTTGGTAAGTAGCCCAAAATGCCCCTACCCTTTAATGTCATTGTACAAAACGTTCTTACATTTTATTTTTTAGCATTTTCACCCTTATTTTCACATTTCATTGTGCAAAATATCCTTTTTATCCATTTTTTCAATAAAAGACATTTCACCCTTCTATTCAAATAAAACAAAAAGAAATAAAATAAAAGGATAAAGAACTAATTGAAATGATAATCCCAAACTTTCAAAAACTTTCAAATTAATCACAGATTAAGGGCTAATTACAAGAACAAATTAGGCTAGTTGTACACCATACTCCTCACATGATGATGCCCACCATGAATTAGAAAAATGGTGAGCCTCCATTGTGAGAGGACCGTACACCATGCTGCGTACACCATGCTGCGACTCACTTAAAAGAACAACACAAAATTCTTTGATTCAATAGGGGCATTTGCTACATTACAGTTGCACTCATTAAATTAAGGGCAAATTACAAGAACACCATGAAATTCGTTGACTCAATTAAAGATTGATTTTATTTTTTATTTTTTTTTGGACTTACGTGCAATGCCATTTCCTATCCAACACTGTGACTGACCATCGATAGACCCAGAGAGATGCGAAACACCTAAGAGTTTGCCCTCGCTATAACAGAGATTTTTCCCTATGTGTTACTTCGACAAAAAGCAATTTATAAGTGGGACTAAGAAAATAACAGTAGGAATTGCCAAAGCAAAGCAATCAATTAGAACTCTTTACTAATTCAACAAACACAATGCACAATGGGGATTAAGAAAGCAACCATCGTACAAAGCCACGTTTTTTCCTTAGGCAATGGCCAAAGCAAACACTCCATGCCCGTCAAGTCACACAAATCACCACTATACAGACTTTAACAAAGACCAACAAACGTATCTGAGCATTGTTACAACTTAGTCTACGTTGGTCGGAGAGTGCTGGTGCTTCCTTCAGTTGGGTTCAATTCTCCCATTTTAGATGCCAAAGCAAGAACTTCAGGTGACATTTCCCAGCTTCCACTTTTCCTTCCCCAACTGGGTCGCCTGGGATGTATTCCAGCACGATCACTTGCATCTACAGTGTTCCTTATCTCTGGGGACATTTCACCTAGTCCACGATCCTTAATGTTTAAGCCATTGTTGTCACTTAACTGCCCTTCGTGTTGATCCAAGAAAGCACCAACACCCCCCCACACTGCCTTCCTTCCCATCTCGATATTCTCTGCTGCTTTACCCATATTTGGACTAACAAAACCACCACCCACAGTTCGAGTCGGTAAAGCTGGTTCCCTTGGTACCTTTGCCCTAAAATTGTTCTTAGATGGATGGACAGGGCTGCAAAATATTTCCTTGAAGTTCTGCGCAACTCCTTGGTTATAGGGATTGGCATGCCGATCGTACCGATTCCTAAAATTCTCGTAAGTAGTCTGCAAACAACGTGGAAACCTTTTCTATTAGTCGGAATAAAAGCATGATATTCTTAATGATAGACCTAAATCAATATCAAAATTTCGTATACAGGGTCGACGAGAAGGATAAGCTCTTACCTGATCTGTACTGATGAGATAAAGATGGAATGCAGTAAGACCACCAACAAACCAAACTGATACAAAGGTGTCGACAATTAAAACAATAGAAGCCGGGGTCTTGACCATTGCTTTCCATATCGATATCTCCTCAGCATCCATAATCCTTTTTATGTAAACCCAGCAGAAACTGAAAACATATATACATAGAAGAGTTGTCGAGAAGACAAACATGAAGAAGAAACGGTAGTTCCTCTGCAACCAAAGTTGTTCAAGATTCAGAACATGTGTCCAGTTGCATTTATAAACCACATGAAATAACAAGACAATAGGTGGGAGACTCAGTTCCAGATAATGTGAAAAAGTAAATAACTTATTGCAGATTTACCCAGAACATAATGATTCTAGATCAGAAAAAAGTTCTGACCATAAGTTGTCAAGCAAAGGGTATTGGCAATTGTGTGCTTTTAAAAAATAAAACCTACAGTTGATTTTCTTTACCAGAAGAAGGATTGACAGGGGCTATGCAATGAACGGAATGCAATGGAAAAATTACACCCACCAGCACAACTTGATTTCCATTCCCTTCATCCAGAAATAAAGACTTAGTTCGACTGTTGCAGTCAAACAGACAAGTTAAAGCAAGTCACGTTTTGTATAGATTTCTTTGTCCTTTGGCTAAAAAGGCTTCCAAATAGTAGTATTTGATAAAATAAATTCCTAACGACACAAGTATATTCTTTCACAAGAAATATCACGCTGAAATCATGGATTTAATGTGGAAGTCAAACCAAGTTAATGAATTAAGGACGCATAGCCAATGGATTAAGAAATTGAGGAAGTAAAATTGGAATGCAATGAACAACATGCTATAACAGGGTGTGAAGATGATGCTATATAAACATAAAAGATACACTAGAGCACAACTTTTTCACATACCAACATCAATATTAATATTTGGTATCTCAAGCATAAAAGCATTTAGAAATATCTTTTTTATTTAGTTTATGCTAATGCATCTACAAATCTTGATGTATAATTGATAGTCCCAAAGTTCAAATACATAGAATGCCTACTTTCTGGTAAACTGCGAAGACCAACTACACAACAAATAAACCACCATAAATTCAATGACCAACCACATGTTAAATGTCTAAGAAGCCCCCGTCTGGCCCCCATTATTTGAAATATTATTGGTTGGAATAGTACGTGTAATATTATTTTATTGGAGAATGTGTGGTTGATAAGAAAAGAGAGAAAAATGAATTATAATATAATGAAGGCCAAACAAGGGCTAAATTATTCGATAAGAAATTTGGGCAAGGTACAAAGTCCAACCTTAAAACCAAACTCCAAGCAAGCATATGTCAACGGTAATACATCATACTACTCTCCACTCTATCCATTTATTTCAAAGCAAAACTTTATTGTCATTTATTTAAAATTTGTTCCACATCCAAGAATTAAGTAATGCATATCAAATGTCCAAAATTGAGAAAGAAAAATTCAGTTTGTTGCTTTTTCTGATGAGAAAGAAAAATTCAGTTTGTTACTTTTTCTGAATTTGCTTCTCTTCTATGGGCGATGATCAACTTGAGACTAGATATTGATGTAGCAGTGGCCAAAAAAAAAAAAAAAGTCATGTACTGCTATTACTTTCAACCTGGAAAAGGTATCGATGTTGATACCCTTAAGAGAATGCATTCTTACCAGTCCAATGCACTGCCCCACCCAAGGGCAGTGATGGTCAAATCGTTCGACACAGTTATTACATATTGAACAGTGAGAACAGCGGGGAGGTCTATAAAGCATGCAGGTGTCGCAGTACTTAATCTTCACAGTAATGCCGTTGACCTCAACTTCCTTGATGCGAGGCAAGCGTAACTGTGGGGTCTTTGCTCCTGCACTTCCATTGTAACCTTCAGGTTCTGGAGGGTGTGCATTACGAGGAATTATACCTGGATCTCTTCCAGAAGTTAGTAGGAGAAGAATTAAATCCTGAAAATTCAACAGAGTAAAAATTTTAGTCAATGTCAAATTAAGCATCAAGATTCTTGTACATGCTATGCACAAAAAGCAGGCATCGAGTTACGCTGCCTATTGACGATGTTCTAAAACCTACACGAAACAAAATATGGTCTGGAGTAAGAAAGCATGATCCTTTCTCATCTAAAAACATCTTTTTGTTGGTAATCGAACCTCCAAAGTAATCCATCAGCATCAAATACAATGTTGTGATAATTCCTAGCACCATCTACAAAATCTATTTCGATCAAACTTCATGGATAACTAGGCAAATGTGTCAACTAAGCCCCCGTTTGGCCCCCATTAATTTTGATTATAATGGGGGGAATGGTGTTTTTTTTTTTTTTTATTTGAAAAATGGATGGTTGTTAAAGAATGAAAAGTTTCCAATTTACGTGTAATATTGTTTTACTGAAGATTGTATGGTTGAAAATGGGAGTGAAAAATTTAATTTAATTTGATGAGATTTAATGTAGGCCAAACGGGGGCTAAGTCTTAAAAATGATTGAGAGAGTGTTATATTTGTAATGCATAGAAAAGCTAACTAAATCATGTAATATACAAAGGAAAACCATACCAACCAATGAAGTTTAAATTTGAAGGCCCACCTCTCGTAAAAGGTCAATAAGCCAGTACAAAGGCAGACACAGCAACTACATGTCATGGCGATAATTTACCTTATCAAGCAAAGAAATTGGTTTTCCTTGGAATCTTAAAAGATTATTTTTCTAATTGCATCAAATTCAAGATTAGGTGTTAAGCAAAAAATATCCACCATCTATCCCTTTATAACCACAGAATATAGAAACTCAATACTGACTTGTTACTTCAGGCCCTAAGTAACAACAAAGGACAATATAAGGTTTAGGTTTTAGGTTTTTGCTAATTGCTATGATATAAACTCTCACTAATCAGAGCAAAACCAGTAAAACCAGCTAGTTAATAGACACATGTAGCCCCTTTTATAGCAGATAGGAAATTATTTGTTTTACATTCCTTTTCTTTTTTCTTGAAAAATAGTGAAGAATAACTACCCATAGCATATAGATGTAATTAAACATCTTGTCAAGCACGTAGCCTGCATGCCTAAGTGAATCTATTTTATGAGTCCAACAAGGTGCAGTTAGTTAATGGATTCACACAGCCTCCCCCCTTTTTTCTGGACTAATGGGGAGGAAATGGGTGATAGGTGAACAAATCTATATTCCATCCAAAATTGCTTAAATATTAACTTCATCATTAAAAAGTGGTGAGTCAGTTGAATCAGGAAGTTCATCAAAAAGTATACATGGAATCCAACGATCAGTATCAATACCATAATTTGAAGTACATCATTCACTAAAATAAACAAAACCTCATTACTTCAGTTTGCTCAAATTTTTGTCCACCTATCCTCATTCCAAATTTCAATGGTTTTATAATTTATTCAATAAGTTGCAACATTTGGCAGTCAAGAAGGATGTACTAACATAGAAGGCAGATTGTAGTAAACATAAAAAGGATGGTTAGAAATAGCTCCTACAGCTGCAGAACAAGGGTTGAAAACATATTCCAAAACTCTAGAAACCAGAGTAAAGAAGCAAAAGGCTTGCTTCCACAGTGGGACATTTCAAATGGTAGATGCAATTTTTCTTAATCATACATCCAGTATGATGCGATGACCTCAAAATAAAGTATTCAGTGATCTTCGAATTAGAACTGAGGCATACAAGGATGATAATTCACAAAAACCTTCAGGATGAAAAAAATGCTCAGCATAAGCTCACAAATGTGTTTTATTATAGCTTTGGATTTCCCAAGTAAATCATTGATTGAAGCATATAGTTCAGTAACAGCTCTTCATCGTGATTAATGAAGCCCCTGTTTGGCCCCCATTATTTGGGTTTATAATGGGGGGAATAGTGTTTTTTTGAAAAATGGATGATTGTAAAAAAATGAAAAGTTTTCGATTTGTTTTTAATATTATTTTATTGAAGATTGTGTGGTTGAAAATAGGAATGCGAGGCAAGCGTAACTGTGGGGTCTTTGCTCCTGCACTTCCATTGTAACCTTCAGGTTCTGGAGGGTGTGCATTACGAGGAATTATACCTGGATCTCTTCCAGAAGTTAGTAGGAGAAGAATTAAATCCTGAAAATTCAACAGAGTAAAAATTTTAGTCAATGTCAAATTAAGCATCAAGATTCTTGTACATGCTATGCACAAAAAGCAGGCATCGAGTTACGCTGCCTATTGACGATGTTCTAAAACCTACACGAAACAAAATATGGTCTGGAGTAAGAAAGCATGATCCTTTCTCATCTAAAAACATCTTTTTGTTGGTAATCGAACCTCCAAAGTAATCCATCAGCATCAAATACAATGTTGTGATAATTCCTAGCACCATCTACAAAATCTATTTCGATCAAACTTCATGGATAACTAGGCAAATGTGTCAACTAAGCCCCCGTTTGGCCCCCATTAATTTTGATTATAATGGGGGGAATGGTGTTTTTTTTTTTTTTTATTTGAAAAATGGATGGTTGTTAAAGAATGAAAAGTTTCCAATTTACGTGTAATATTGTTTTACTGAAGATTGTATGGTTGAAAATGGGAGTGAAAAATTTAATTTAATTTGATGAGATTTAATGTAGGCCAAACGGGGGCTAAGTCTTAAAAATGATTGAGAGAGTGTTATATTTGTAATGCATAGAAAAGCTAACTAAATCATGTAATATACAAAGGAAAACCATACCAACCAATGAAGTTTAAATTTGAAGGCCCACCTCTCGTAAAAGGTCAATAAGCCAGTACAAAGGCAGACACAGCAACTACATGTCATGGCGATAATTTACCTTATCAAGCAAAGAAATTGGTTTTCCTTGGAATCTTAAAAGATTATTTTTCTAATTGCATCAAATTCAAGATTAGGTGTTAAGCAAAAAATATCCACCATCTATCCCTTTATAACCACAGAATATAGAAACTCAATACTGACTTGTTACTTCAGGCCCTAAGTAACAACAAAGGACAATATAAGGTTTAGGTTTTAGGTTTTTGCTAATTGCTATGATATAAACTCTCACTAATCAGAGCAAAACCAGTAAAACCAGCTAGTTAATAGACACATGTAGCCCCTTTTATAGCAGATAGGAAATTATTTGTTTTACATTCCTTTTCTTTTTTCTTGAAAAATAGTGAAGAATAACTACCCATAGCATATAGATGTAATTAAACATCTTGTCAAGCACGTAGCCTGCATGCCTAAGTGAATCTATTTTATGAGTCCAACAAGGTGCAGTTAGTTAATGGATTCACACAGCCTCCCCCCTTTTTTCTGGACTAATGGGGAGGAAATGGGTGATAAGTGAACAAATCTATATTCCATCCAAAATTGCTTAAATATTAACTTCATCATTAAAAAGTAGTGAGTCAGTTGAATCAGGAAGTTCATCAAAAAGTATACATGGAATCCAACGATCAGTATCAATACCATAATTTGAAGTACATCATTCACTAAAATAAACAAAACCTCATTACTTCAGTTTGCTCAAATTTTTGTCCACCTATCCTCATTCCAAATTTCAATGGTTTTATAATTTATTCAATAAGTTGCAACATTTGGCAGTCAAGAAGGATGTACTAACATAGAAGGCAGATTGTAGTAAACATAAAAAGGATGGTTAGAAATAGCTCCTACAGCTGCAGAACAAGGGTTGAAAACATATTCCAAAACTCTAGAAACCAGAGTAAAGAAGCAAAAGGCTTGCTTCCACAGTGGGACATTTCAAATGGTAGATGCAATTTTTCTTAATCATACATCCAGTATGATGCGATGACCTCAAAATAAAGTATTCAGTGATCTTCGAATTAGAACTGAGGCATACAAGGATGATAATTCACAAAAACCTTCAGGATGAAAAAAATGCTCAGCATAAGCTCACAAATGTGTTTTATTATAGCTTTGGATTTCCCAAGTAAATCATTGATTGAAGCATATAGTTCAGTAACAGCTCTTCATCGTGATTAATGAAGCCCCTGTTTGGCCCCCATTATTTGGGTTTATAATGGGGGGAATAGTGTTTTTTTGAAAAATGGATGATTGTAAAAAAATGAAAAGTTTTCGATTTGTTTTTAATATTATTTTATTGAAGATTGTGTGGTTGAAAATAGGAGATAGAAAAATTTAAATTAAATTGTAGAGTTTTAAAGGGGGACAAACGGGGGCAAAACAAGGAAATATATTTGTTAACAGCTAAAGTCTATAAGAAATATATAATTTGTTTCAAATCATTGATTGAGGAACCTAGGAACACACCAGAAGTCTTATTTAGGATGAGGAGAACTTCATAAGGAAAAATCATCCCACCATTTATATTAAGTAAAATGTAAAAGGAGAAGCTACCTTATGTTTTTCCAGCTCCCACCGCAGCTCAAAACAACCTAACTGAAAGGTCAAGTATTCAGCCTAGTCATTTCATTCCATCACTACCTACCTGAGCTCCTGAAACTAATGAACATTTTAGGCACTCTAAACTTGAAATAGCACCATTAAAATCAAATCCCCCCACCCCCGCCAAAAAAGAAAAATGAATTAAGTTTTCTGACACTGATATTCAACCTAAGGAATTTAAAGTTGCACTAAAACAGCAATTACTGAAATGAAAAATGTAATAGACCAAAAAATGATGCCAGGGAAGAGAGAGAGAGAGAGAGAGTTACATAAAATGTGAAAACAACGGCAACAACCATAACTGATGCTCCCCAAAGGTGTGAAAAATCATCCATCAGCTTTCTAGCAACGAAGATACAAAAAACAATGACAGGAGCCACAATCAAGAATATGGTGAGCCCTAGTGACCTCGCATCTGGCCCAAATATAAACCTTCCTTGAAGAAAAAATTTCTGCAACAAGATAAGCAAGTAAACAACTAAAAATTTAGCAAAAAGCAACCACATTACACAATCTCCATTAATGATAGGAATTCAGTATTTCCATAAAAGGCTAAATGAGCTTCCCAGGGCATATCACACAGGAAAGGGTATTCCTAACACCAGGAAAGTGTGTTAATCTCAATCTTAACTTCATATCTACCAAAGCTCCTTCAATACTAAACAACAAAGTTAAACAAAAGCAAATTAGACAAAGGGAAAACACGATACAAGTTGATTCAAAACAAGAATGTATACAAATAAACCCACCCAAATCACTATTTTTTAAGTATTTATATACATAATTTGAGCCTAAAACTATCCCTTGCAGAAAAAAAAGGATAAAGCTACTTGTACATAATGGTTCCATGCATAAAATTATGTACACCGCACAGCCCAAAAAAAAGGTCATTAATTTCAACCGAAAATGAGCTCTAATTCACTAAACCCAAGTTAACAACCTTTGAAGCTTGATTCGCAGATGCAAGATGTACATAATATTATATTGTCACCATCCCTCATTTATCCCGTTCTCACAGGTCTGATTTCACCCAGATATGACATTTCTTCAATAAATCCATTATCCATACATATTGTAGAATAAAAATAACTTTCTCCACGAAAAACTTGTACGGCGCCTCAACTGGTTATTTTTAAATGAAATGAGATAAAGATCAAGGCTTTGCCCAAATTTTTGCTTCTTTATTGTGTTCCTTATAATAAACTTATTTTACCCAATTCAAACTAGCAACAAAAATTCCAATGAATGGACAATTTTGAGCAAAAATTCTTAATAAATCATAATAATCATCAAATACGAAATCCTTTTAAGAAATTAGAAACAGGAAGCACTCACATTGCTTCCTTTCCAAGTCTGGTAAATCCGGAGGGTATCAGACCCATCTGTGGATCCGAATGACGGATCGTTTCTCTTCGGAGGAGGAACCACGTACATAACTCTCTATTTTCCTTCTCCCTTAAGTCGAAATCTCTAATGCAAACCCCACTGTCAAAACTTTACACAAACAACTAATGCTGCTATAATTACATACAACAATATATAATGAGTAGTTGCTTGAAATTTGAACTATCCGGTGACAAATTAGCCGTTAAATGGATTCCATTCCGGCGACGGTGTAGAATGTACAAGAGGAAGAAGAAAGGGAAGAAGGGATTCTTGCATAGTGGGTTTGCTCTGTGTGTGTGTTGCTATCTACATGACAGTGAGATTTGATCTGAGCGTGCACGCTTT